GGGGGGGGGGGGGGGGGGGGGGGGGGGGGGGGGGGGGGGGGGGGGGGGGGGGGGGGGGGGAAGGCGGCAGAGCGATATATTCGCCTTTACATAACACTGCATGGGTAACATTTGGTAATCCCCTTTGTTTGTTTTTTCTGCATATTTTAACTGCATGACCAGAGAAACTTTTCTTTCTAGCATAAAACGGTCTGAAGATATCTTACACAACAAGCCGAAACCAGTGTACTTTATGTATGCTACAACTTCCTAATATCTAACGTGTATCTCATCACTAATTTTTACTCGAATAAAATTCATCAAAGAATTTTCGGAGAAACTGATTATTCAAAGTGGATTATAAATGGGTCTTTTAATCAATGAATTTGAACTCGTTCGTCTTTATTTGTCTTGTTTTCGCATGAAAGAATGAGGAAATTTGTAGCGTCACGACCGGTGGTCAGCGGGATTATGCTTTGGCAGCCACCCGTGTGCCGCCACCTGCCATCAGGTGAGTTTTTTTTTTTTTTATTTCTGACAAATATCCTAGCAGAGGTCTCGGACAACGGTTATACAGCGAGATGTTAAAACACAAACAAGGGAGCTTGCTCGAGTAATTGCAACTTTTTCTTGATGATCTGTCAAAGCAGCAAGTGGCAAGAGCAAAAGATTTATGATAAAACTAAGGCCCTTAGAACATGATAAAACAAATGCTCTATTAGGTGTTTTGACTCTAATTCATCTGTTTAGGAAAAGCAGCACATATTCTGCACCGTCCGCGAATTGCGACTGGAAGGAAGAACGTAAACTGCACGAGCGGAACTTTCAGCTTAGCCTACAACGTGAGGTAGTGTTTGTAATATTGCATTCTTGAAGCTGCTGCATAACCTAAAGAATCAAGAATATTCCTCGCTTTCCGCCACCACCCTCGTCCCTCCGGTTTATGAGACTGCTTGCTCCCCTGATCTCGCCACCTCAACAAACGGATAAAATCGTTTTTTTTATTTGCCGGACCCCAACCCCGGTTTATCAGGCAAAAATGAGCATTCATTTTTGCTGCTTGAGATTTTTAGCGTGATACCCCGCGATTTATGCGCATTTTTTCCAAATGCTGCGACGGGATTTCTTCAACAAATCACAAGTGGCGCAGATTTTGTAAACTGATAGTGAGTTGGTATCAAAGCCAGCACGTCTACACTTTTTTCTGCTCATGCTTTCATCCTGAGCTGTGTTCAGCTACAGGTCCATGAAAGAATACAAACGAGCTAGCACTTGAAATTTCTCACAGTGCTTTCTGCAGGTTCTGCGATTCCTTAGCTATTCTGAATATCCGTATGTCAATGAAAAATTGGTCAAGAATCCAACCAAGGAAGAATTCGCACTCATGTTTGAGTTCATTTTCCAGCAGCTCGCGCCAAATTACACAGTGCGCAAATTTGAAGACGATGTATGTTTTTGAAGGGCATTTTCACAACTCCCAAGAAATCAACAGCAAGTAAATGGGGAGATGGGATTTTGTGCTAGACCATGGATGAATTTTTAGCCGCTCCAGCAATAACCAGTCGAATCAGCATGGGCCTGCCGATGTTACTGGGATATAATCTACCGAGCTAACAGCCTTTAATTTTCTTTCCCCGTCTTCTCTCCTGGTGCTTACGCATCTTCGGTGGTCACAAGGGAACTTCGAAAATCGCTGCGAAATTATTGTCCACTATTTTGCGATTACTATTCACTGACACTGACCAACATTGTAAACAATATGCCTTCGATAGCCGATTTTATTTTTTCGTGCAATTTTGGTAAAGTCTAACTTCCCATGTGACACAGCTCAGTGGCTACGGATTTCTCAAATCACCTTTCTCTGTTGCAGCTGGCGTTGGTTCTTTTCTTCCAATCTAGTAGTCGCTTTTTACATTTAAGCTTCATGATTTTCAACGTCATGATGTGGACGGCGGCCATTCTTATAACAGCTTGATAGTTTGATATAACTGATGTATGAGAGTTAGCAATTTGTTAAGTATCTATAAGTAAATGGAGATGAAAAACGAAAAAGTGAAAAAGGCACATGCTTCATTTACATATATAAACGAATTTGGGTATATATGTGCTTATGTACTTGTACACATACTTTTAAGTATGTATATATATACATACTTAAATCACTTATATATATATATATACGTGTGTAGGAGAAACAGCTAGGATAAAAGCATTTCGGCCCACCAATTTACGTACATCAATCAGGTACGTATAATGATGTACCAGCTTTGCCAAGAGAATGGCACTACAGCTTCCCATTTTATATGCCAGCAATTTAATTTTCAAGAACAATCAGAAATAACCGCAAATCAGAAATTTAATTTATTATTTTTTAGATGCCATTTTATTTTCGTCTGTTGGGATATTCGGCAAACTTGAAGCCATCAATCATGCGTACAGTTGGAATGCAACAGACGATGCCGCATTTGCTGCTAGCTATTGTTTGGCTTATTGATCTCGTAAGAGTGCGTTACTTCTCCATATTCTGATAGCAAATTTTTACAGTTTACACTGAAATTGTTCGCTGGGCCTGGCTAATTGGACAAAACGTTTGCTCGAGGAAAGGTTGGGTTCATTTCAGATGTTAGTTACTCATGCAAAAGCGCAGTTGACATTTGAGTGCAAGCTCAGGGGTTACTTGAACTTTAAGCCTTTACCATTTCTAGTGCACAGTAAAAAGAACTCTGGAAAAAGAGATTTAAAAATCTTAATAATTTCTAAACAGTATGAGGCTTATCCGTCCCATTCTTACACCTCATCAGCTTCTCTTAATTTTCTTTCTTCACTTTCTTTATCGTTCAGGCCTTCGTAATCTGCTCGTAAGTATTTAGTAGTTAAGTGCGCATCTTACACATAATGGGCAGGAGGCTGCACTGATGATTTACACTTCTACATGCACGGAGCAGCGCTCCGCTCTGGTTTGGCTAAGGTGTGAAACACAGATTTTCGATAAACCAGGACTGTCGATGAATGCTTTATTCAGTCCCAGTGTTTCGGTTTCCTATCACTTATATCTTGCTAACCAACTATATTGATGTTAACTGTCTCAGGATTTATTAGATTAAGAGGCTGGTTTAGTTTCGCGATTTAACACAATATCCAAGTAATTATCAAAAAATGTGATTTATCACAACATTCAAGCACTTTGTTGGACGCATTAGATTCTGACTGTTTTCAAGTTTCAGGATTGCCCTTCATCCATCTATCGGTATTTCAGAAAGGTTTTATTTGTTTGATTGAATGTACAAGTAAAACTCTTTTGAATTCTAGATGGCTGCTAACATGAAATGGGAATTTCTGTTTGGAGAGAAGGATGTTCAGGCGAAAACCGTAAGCACGCATTTGCATCCTCATTTTTCTCATTTCATAAATGCAAAGGACCGATGAAACTTCACTGAGCCGGCTTACTTCTAAACTGCGTCTTTTTTTTCCTGGCTGATAAGATGCCTCACTATAGCATAGGAGTAGCATCTTTCGAGATGAGGTGGTAATGCTCAACACACACTAATGACATCAAGCAAAATGAATGAAATCTTGCCGGTTGCTTCTGTTAGAAGAACCGTTTAGCCGGTATTCCCTTCAGGAAACGAAACAAACATTAAAAGCGCCAGCAGTTTGACAGTAAGCAATGCAGTACTGACCAAAGCGAATGGAAGAGTTACCAAATGCATGACTGGTAAGGCATGCTAGAAACTGCAGCTGGGTAAAGCGCCTTTCTTGAAATTGAAAATGAGGAAATGGTAAAGCAGAGAATGTTGTAGAAAAAATTATTGCAATGAACCTAGAAAAGTTAGCGGACTGGAAAGAAATGTTTCAGCCCATAAAACTGCATACATTTCTTGTTTGTGTCACAACTGGTTCTCACTCAGTGCAAAGAGGTCCAGTTGTGGGCACCAGGAAAAAACATATATAACGCAAAATTAAATTTTTCACCTTAAATGTTTGCTGTGCAGACTAACTGATTCATTTCAGTTGAACTCTCGCTGCTTAATTATGTGGTACAAGAAGTTTTTGGAAAATCCTTTTTCGGTCGTGAACATAGAAAGCTACAAGCAAGTAATGAATGAGCTTTCGATTTGCACTAGTAAGTGCTGCATAAATTTCACCGAAAGCCTAACACATTCACTCGCCGGTTTAAGCAAAACTGAAGAACTTGGACGTCAGCAGGACGAGTATGAATTAAAGTTTCAGCAAAAAGTGAACTGCCTAAATTCAGTTCCTTCTTTCATCCTTACTTTTCCAGTGGTTCATTGTCACATATGTTTTTTTAATCTGGCTTTTGGTTGCTTGTTAAATCTGCACAGCTTCATAATTTTAACTTCTGTAGATCAGGATTCTTGCGCAAGAACTAAAGAAAGCCATCGCCAGCTTAGTCACTGAGCAGTTGCTGTTTGTAATATTTGGGCTACTTCCAAATACTTTCTTTGTATAGTAGCTAAGAAGTGGAAAAAAGTGAGAGGCGGATTTTTAGTTTTGAATTTTTATATGAAACTGAGCGTTAGCACTAAAATTACTATCAAAATAACAACCAACAGTCCAGAAATTCTTCTATTAAAAAATCTCGTTTTCTTTTAAAAATTCGCAAGAGAAATCATTGTTCTCAGGATAAAAGACTGCTCCTGTCTTTCCAGGGTAGCGTGGAAATGGATCCAAGCTAGTGAAATAATAAAGAATTGTTGCATAGTAAATCACGTGGATTTTGAGTAAAATTATTTTCCGGTCCGACGAAAAATCGAATGGCTGATGTCAGTCCAGAGGATATTGAAAATTTCACACAAGAGGAAACTGAATTATGTGCGCCATCGGAGACTGAAACACAGAAAATCGT